AGCAGGAGCAGGAGCAGGAGCAGGAGCAGGAGCAGGAGCAGTAGAAGTAGCAGCAGCAGTAGCGGTAGCGGTAGCAGTAGCAGTAGCAGTAGCATTAGCAGTAGCAGCAGCATCAGTAGTTTGGTGGTCGTGGCGGTCGTGGTGGTCGTGTGGTGGTGGTGGTCGTCGTCAGCATCGTCATCGTAGCAGCGGCAGACTGCGGCGAAACGCTACAGCTGGAGCTCTAGCTACTGCCAAAGTCATGGCCACAGTTATACTAGTCATGAGTTCCCAGATTCAAGATAGATATTCTCGCTCCTCTGATTGAGTTGCTGGGATGTTGGTACATAGGGCTAGATGTCTAGGCCCCAAACACCCGAAATTCCCTAGAACCCTTCCGGGTTTTGGATTTCGGGCCCTGTCGTGCACCAAGGACTGGGACAAGCTCTCTTTCGGCATACTGCAGACAGAGGTCCCTTGGCGCGTAGGATGTCGAATCCAACACTGGAGCCTTTCGGTTCAGCACATACGAAGGCTGCCAGGGACTTGATGAAGGTTTTCAAACTTTATAACCGGTTGTGGTTCTTAGAGTTCAAGACTTACCTGGTCTCTTCTTGAGGAATGCAGGTAAGTTGCCGTAGGAGCGCATATCATTCACTTTGGGTTGCTACGGTGTGTCCTGCGCTGTGGTCGTTTGCTACGAGAACGGAAATTTGAGCTGCTTTATTGCGGTTGAAGGTTTAGGGTTGGGTCTGAACTTCCGGGGTGGGTTTGGAGAGTCTTGGCTTAGGGATGTGGGGTCGCAAAGTTGGGGGTTCGAGGTATGGGGTTAGGACTTCGTGTCTGGCGGGGTTCAGGATTTGCCATGAAAACTTGTAGCGTCCCATAGCCTTGGAAAAAACTACACCCAGCCGAAGCCTCGAAGTTCGCTCCAAGCTGCATGCTGCAGGTTCTGTGCAGAGACTATGACGAAATCGCACCTTGCAACATCTCTGACAATGTCGTCTACGCATCTTGCCGGCCAGGGCCAAAACCCTAAACCCTGAAGTCTAACTGCCTCCTCCCATGTGAGCCTTGTGGCTGCCTATGGCTTTGACTTATGAACACGGCCGCGGGTCAATGCAACTGTCAGTTTGGAGCAAGATGCTGCTCTCTTTGCCAAGATACCTCCCCAAGGCATGCAATTGGCAATTCAACGAGCAGAGTGGTTGTTTGTTGCATGATGCTGAGAAACGCTAAACCGCCTTAATTGGGTTGTGTGGTATTCCTGGTTTGCAGTTTTCATGTTCCACGTAAGGAGGAGAGCCAGTCACACTCAAATTAGTTGGAGGGTTCTGCGCCGGAACGAACATGTACAGGGTTTGCGTTTTTATCTTGGCTGCGATAGTGATCTGAAACCTGAGTCACTCGGCGAGTCAGACCAAGATTGCTTGCCACGTGGCGGCTAAGGAGAATGGTTGGCCCGTGCACATAGACGTGGTGGAGTCCTTCCGAAATGGTGGTCCGGGTGACTGGGTGCAGATGGTGGTCGGGGCCTCACTTTGATTTTCAATCTCGCTAGGTATGCCATGGCCCCAATTATGATCCTTGATTCTCCAAGGGTCTTAAGGCAAATAGGGGTTCAGTGGCCTGTGAAGACAAGTGTAGGGTTTGGGATCCAGTGTTTCAGATCCAGGGGTTTTGACTTTGTCTTTGCAGCTTCCGGTGCGACTTCTAGCCTTGAAAGGTTCCTGCGGCTCTGGGACCTGCCCTGATCAGCACAGCCCTTCTCCCTAAATGATGACTAGAGGTGGGATCCTAGGATTATGGCCCTCATAGAACTTAGGTTTATAAGTCACAGGTCCATCGTGGTGACCTAACACTCAACCCAGACTTTCGAAACACAGCACGCCTCAAACCCCCTACATCCTGAAACCCTAGCACCTTAGTGTAGAAGCCTAAATCATTGGTACGATGGATCTGCTAGATTCCGAAACGGTATTCACCAAGACCCCTACCTTACACCCTAAACCCAACCTTATTCGGACACCCAGGCCCTGGGAGTGGCTGCATGGTGGGCAGCCGTTTCCCTAGCCCGTCGGCCCTCGCTCTTCTTTGCTCTCAAGAGTTTAAACAGGGTGGGCTATCTTCTAAGATACCTTTTTGTCCCTTTGAATATCCATACAAGGCTAATTATTCAGGTTAAAGATGTTGGGGTATCGGATTTGTCCCGAACCTCCTTGTTCAACCCGGGGCTTTGATTGAGGGTTGGAAGCGGAATTGAGGAGCATGGTATGTACAGTACCTCTACATGTATGTATGCATGTATGTATGTATGTATGTAGGTCTATGTATATGTATATGTGTATGTATATGCTGTATATGTGCATGTATTTTCTATGTATATGTAGTATGTGTGTATTATGCTTATATAGTATAAAGTGTATATATATATATAACCTTAGCTCTACATGCCCATACACACTCTAAGGTGCAACCTTAGCTCTATATGCCTATACACACTCCAAGGTACTATAATATTTTGTAGTGCATTGTGTCATATTGTATTATGTTATAGTACAGTACAGTATAGTATAGTCTAGTCTAGTATAGTAGAGTAAAGTATAGTATAACAGCTTTTTATGCGGTATTCTGTCGTATTGTCCCGTATTTTGTTATGATGCAAGATCTTTTCAACATCATAAAATCGTATCCTACCTGATATTACTCTGTACGGAAGTACTTGGTGCTGAATGACATCATATGATATTACTACATATGGTATTATATGAGTTTTTATTTACTCTTGTCGTACTATGTTACATTTTAGTATGTTGCTTCTTAATGCATTTTTAATACATGATAGAGTTGTCTTGCGACGTTTCCGCTGCCAAAGATTCTGCAACATCGCGCAGCGTGCGAAGCACAGTGCATACCCAACCATTGCTCTGCAGTGTTCTGGCAAATTGACCACTTGCAACTTGCCGTGGGTCCCTATGCCTTTTGCTTGCCTCACTTCGGCCCTTTCTTTAAGTACTGAAGCCCTGAAGCCGAGGCTTAAAACCCGAACCACCAAGCCTGACGGTAAACCCAAATCCATGCGTTAAGTCCTAAGCCTTAAACCCCAAACCTGCTGCCTTCATCGTGCTTCGGCCAAGGTCGGCCTCTTAGTGGGGCTTGGCGCTTGCTACCGTACCTTGGCCTTAGGTGATCTCGCAGTATGTGGGGTAGGGTTTGATTTAGGGCCATTTCAGGTTTGAGTTTTTAGGGTTTTAGTTTTAGGTGTAAGATCAAGGAGGGCGTAGTGGGCATCTACCACACCCTAGCTTCAGTTCTTGAAAGGTTCGCGGTCCCTGGTTTAGTATGTCGTGTGTGCCCGTGGCTGGGTGCTGACGCGCTTCGAGTACTGCTTTGGACAGACTCTCAACACAAAACGTCCTTCGTACGTCGTACCTGTCAGTACTCTAAAAAATTGGGACTACTACTACTACTACTACTACTACTACTACTACGACAACTACAACAACAACAACAACAACAACTACTACTACTACTACTACTACTACCACTACCACTACCAGAAC